ACTCCCTCTGGGGCACCTGGCATTGGCCACTGTCGGTAGAAAGGATACTGGGCTAGATGGACCTTTGGTCTGACCTGGTACAGCCATTCTTATGTTCTTATGTCCTTGGGACATGGGAGTGTGTTTTTATTTGTCTGTAAAATCATCATGCACAGTGATGGCACCAAACAAATAATAACAAACAACTCTGATTGCCTTCTGGCAGCATGTTGAATTCTGGTAGGTTGCCCTGCCGGCCCCTCTGACTTCTGAAATATTTTAATGTCCTGCACTTTTCACCCAGTCCTAGCATCAGACTTTTCTTGCACATTTAGTGCTGACACTAATGCAGATGCCTCCAATTCATTGGGTTTCATGGGGCAAAACATGGCATGTGCGGCTTTCAGTCATAAGGTGAAGAGTAAATTTTTGTAAAAACAAAACTGAAAATAATCCAATATCAGTATTTAGGGGATAATCTACATTATTTTATTTTCTGTGAGGCCTACAAGAAACTCAATATGAAGGAGCTGAGGGGCAGTCAAATAGAGTTGATATGTTGGTTTATATAAAGTGTAAATAATGCATACAAAAACTGTACATAGTTGGATTAGATTCCTCTTCATCTCTTTGTATGTTGCTTGCATTCTTAAATCTAAGCTCTTTGGGGCAGAGATTGTCTCCCAGTGCATATGGACAGCAGCTAATCCATTGTGTGTGTTACAAGAATACAAATTGTAATTTTCTGTCCATCAGTGACCACCAAATTTCAGCTTGCTTGCTGCTGCTAAAGTGGTTTGTTTATCTTTAACCAACCTGGCTTCTGCAATTAAACACAATTAAATCTTTGACAAAGAGCCTGAGGGCCGAAACAGAGTTTAAATGCAATATGTTACTGAAATTAACGCACACATCTAGGAAAAGAGCTATGAGTGCGTGATTCACTGCTGTTCTGATGTGCACAGCAACACAAATGCTTAACTGCCGAGACAAACCGCAGTGCAAGGATACGCCAGGATATAAGCAGGATTTTGATGTCCCTTACATAATAGCCATGACTATAACACACCCCCTACGAGTTCACTTTTCATTGGGATGACAAATGTGAATTACAACTGCTTTCTTTTTGCAGAGTTTTATCAGAGTATAATCGCTTGCCCAACTTAATTGAAAAATCACTTACATTTATAGCTGAATTTAAACATGTTTTTTTATTTAAATGACAGCTTTTGAAGTAGAACCATATTTTAACGGAAAGTGGTCGTTTTTTATCTGTGTTTCTGTAAAGACATTTCAAAAACTCTCATCAAATTTCCGGCGGTAAGTAATATCCCATTCAGCGCAAGGTGAAATGTTTTACATCAAATCTCCTGCTGTGTAATGGCCAATCAAAGAGTATTTATAGTGGCTGAATGGATTTTTTGGCTCGGCATTCAAAATTAAACATTTTCATACATTAACATTTAATGTTTTTTGCCACTCTTCAAGTTGATTTTATGTAACCCTAGATACTCACAACGACTTGGTACTATGAAGCTACTTGTTTATGCCGAGGATCCTGCAGACAGTAGTTTCATATTTATTGTACTTGTGTAGACTGATTGAAATGTAGATTTGATAGCAGGCTTATCTCTGCCTTTTGATAAACATTATATGAGTCTTGCTAGATGTCCATCAGCGCAACGCATCGAATCTCCCAGTACTGGTATGACAACTTTACTCTGTGAACTGATGAAGAGAAGCAAATTTTGCTAAGGAACAATACAATTTAACATTCTATGTTAAATTTTGAAAGATGATAGCTTGTTTCTCTTATTGTAGGTGGCCAACAAGAAGAGTCCGTGCCAGCTACCACCTTCGGAACTGGATGGTTCTTATTTAAGTATAGTTAGACCACAAACGTTATACAAGAACAATAAAGCATCACAGTCGGGAAGTCCAGCCCTGTTTTCAGTACCTCCGCACTGTAGAAATAATCATGCTCATGGGACCACAGCCCACTACAACCAACAGGAGGTTCTGAATGAATGTCCAGTGGAAAATGGCTTGCACAGAAAATGTAACAATATGATGCTGTCAGCAAAGGAAAGGGGCCCATACCACACACAAATGGCTCCTGATGTGGGCCAGAGAATGAGTGAATTTCAGAACACTTGTCCTCACCAAATGAGTCATTGGGCTTGTATGCAGCCAGGAAGGTTGGAGAACATTCAGGATAGCCAAAAGGTCAGCCATGTACCCAAAAGACATTCGGGGCCGCTTCATGAAACCTGTGATAACTCTAGGCTTTCTCGAGTTTCTGGGATGAATGACAGTGTGGACTCTGGATCAAAAGAAACAGAGCGTAGTAAAAGGCTGTCTGAGGAAAGAAGACAGCAGCTGCTGCTGCAGAAAATGGAGCTGGAAGTTGAAAAGGAACGTCTCCAGCAATTGCTTGCTAAACAGGAAGCAAAACTACTTCTGAAGCAGCATCAGCTACACCAATCCAGGCTGGATTACAATAGGTGAGTTTGTGAGGTTTATAGATAGAGGATAATTGATAGTGTATAAGGAATTTCTGTGGTACCTAACACTTACATGGAGCATTGAGAAACACAGAGTAATATCTCCTTTGTGCATTGAAGAACTTGGAATTTAAACTAGACACTACTATAACCACGAGACTAGACATGGGACAACAGTTAAGGTAAAGAAGAGTGTGAGGACTGTTGGTCTAGAATAAGATAGGAAAATTGATGGAAGAAATTATCTTTGAGGAGGGATTTGAAAGAGGAGAGAGTGCATTAGAAGACTAGAACAAGGAGTTAAAGGTGTAGGAACAGCATCACAGAAGGTGCCAAAACCATGAGTGGGAGAAAGACAGAATGAGCAGAAAGGTGCTAGATAAGACAAAGGAAGCAGGAAGAGTAGTAGAGGGGAATGAGAGCTGTGTGTATAGACTTGAGTGCTGATGCTTTACTCAGCTGTACAGACATAAGGGAAGATGTGGTTCTTTGCTTAAGGGACTATGACGTAAATCAGATTCGGACGATACAGAGACACAAAACCCCAACTGAGAGTCCAGTCTTGAATTCTGGGTGGTGTTTGATGAAAGGTTACCTGAAAAAAAGTGGGTTTAAATAGGGAGGTTGTTTTATGGGAGGTAAAGAAGAGAGGCCCTAGAGAATGAGGGGCCCCATGGAAAAAGGCACGAAAATAAGTGGAAAGAAGATAAAAGACAGGTTGTTGGGATGAAGCATGGGAGGTGCTTAAGCAATGGAAGGGTTAGTGGGGAGGAGGAAATAAGAACAGCGATTGTAGGCGGGTCAGAATTGTGCAGCGTTGTGAGCTGAAAATGAGATGCTTTCACTTGATGTAGAAGGTGAGAGCTTGCCCTGAAAGATATTTGTGTAAGGGTTTGACAGAGTGGTGGTAAGGAAAGACAGATTTAGCAGCAACATTTTATATAGACTGGCAGCGGGGAGAGGATAGAGGAGATGTATTGAAACCACAGAAGAGAAAGTTGCCCTAGAAAGAGGAGAGATGACTCAGTTGAATACAAGGATTTTAGTGGAAGGGAGAGGGAGGAATGGATGGAGTTTAGCAGTCTTGTAAAGGAAACAGCAAGAGGATTTGATGAGAGCTTTGATGTAGATATTATTTTAAAAGCGTCACTGACAAGGGGATCCCACAAGATTATGAATTACATGATCTGCATCCCACGCATGTATTTTCTCCTTTCCCTCCAACCCCACAACTGCTTTTCAAGTTTTAAAAGAGAATATTATAGCTGAAGGAGTTTTTTGCCTGTATAAACTGTACTCTGCTAAGTAACTTTCTCTGCTGCTTTTGTATGTAATGTGCAATCCAAAAATTTAATTGTATTTAGTTAGTTTTCACATGTCTATTTGATCGGAGGCAGTCACAATTGTCCGTGCGTAGGTGTGACAAGGCGCTCCACTCACCACTAGGATGGCACCTCCTCCTGGTCACTCTGGGGAATAGCTCGTGAGGTTGATGCCCCTTCCCACGTTTGCGCACCGTCTTTCCACCTCTCTGTCTTGGTTTGTGCCCCCCTCTCTCACTCCATGAGCTGCCTCTTTGTGACTTAGCCCTCCAGCCAGGACACCAAACGGTTTTCCTCTTCCAGGATCGGAAAGTCTTTCCTCTCAAGCAGTCCTAGGCAGTCTTCCTCCTAGTGCCACTCCCTTAATGGTTGGCAGGGGAACCCAGATCCACCCTCTGCTCCGGGTTCTGGCTCAGGCACCTTCTAGACAGCAGTCAAGGCCTATTCGCTTCTAGACCTTAGTGTCTTTCCCTGAGTCCTGTCCTACCTTCCTGGCTTAGAATCATCATAGAATCATAGAATATCAGGGTTGGAAGGTTCCTCCAAGGAGGTCATCTAGTCCAACCCCCTGCTCAAAGCTATCCCCAAGTAAATTCCCCCCCTCTCTGGGTTTGCCAGCCCAAATGCACCTCCCTTCTCTCAGGGAATGACTGCAGACTCTCTCATCGGCCCCCTCTATTTCCAATTTCCCGTCTTTATAGTCCCAGCCCAGATCATTCCTCCTCAGTTGGGCTCCCTCACTCAGTCTTGGGTTTACCTAGCCACCTGATTCCCCTCAGCTATGGCCTGTTGGGTTAATTAGCCCCCTTTCCCATCTGCATTAACCCTTTCCAGGCAAGTGTGGGGTAAACATCTCATCACAGTTGGAAATGACTGAGTTCACAAAGGATTATAACTTCAGGTGAGAAGTAAGTAGGAACAGATGTATTCTTAAGAACATAAGAAAAGCCATACAGGGTCAGACTAATGGTCCATCTAGCCAGGTATCCTGTCTTCCAACAGTGGCCAATGCCAGGTGCTTCAGAAGGAATGAGCAGAACAGGGAATCATCAAGTGACCCATCCCCTGTCGCCCAGTCCCAGCTTCTGGCAAACAGAGGATAGGGACACTTCAGAGCATGGTTTTGCATCCCTGCCCATCCTGGCTAATAGCCATTGGCTATCCTCCATGAACGTATCTAGTTCTTTTTTGAACCCTGTTATAGTCTTGGCCTTCACAACATCCTCTGGCAAAGAGTTCCATAGGTTGACTGTGCATTGTGTGAAGAAATATTTCCTTTTGTTTATTTTAAACCTGCTGCCTATTAATTTCATTTGGTGACCCCTAGTTCTTGTGTTATTAGAAGGAGTAAATAACACTTCCTTATTTACTTTCTCTACACCAGTCGTGATTTTGTAGTCCTCTATCATATCTCCCCTTTGTCATCTCTTTTCCAAGCTGAAAAGTCCCAGTCTTGTTAATCTTTCCTCATACGGAAGCTGGTCCATAGCCCTAATCATTTGTATTGCCCTTTTCTGTGCCTCTTCCAATTCCAATCTATCTTTTTTTGAAACGGGGCGGCCAGATCTGCACGCAGTTTTCAAGACGTGGGCGTTACCATGGATTTATATAGAGGCAATATGATATGTTCTGTCTTATTATCTATCCCTTTCTTAATGATTCCCAACATTCTGTTCGCTTTTTTGACTGCAGCTGCACACTGAGTGGATGTTTTCAGAGAACTCTCTACAATGACTCCAAGATCTCTTTCTTGAGTGGTAACAGCTCATTTAGACCCCATCATTTTATATGTATGGTTGAGATTATATTTTCCAGTGTACATTACTTTTCATTTATCAACATTGAATTTCATCTGCCATTTTGTTGCCCAGTCACCCAGTTTTGTTAGACCCCTTTGTAACTCTTTGCAGTCTGCGTTGGACTTAACTATCTTGAGTAGTTTTGTATCATCTGCAAATTTTGCCACCTCACTGTTTACCCCTTTTTCCAGATCATTTATGAATATGTTGAACAGGATTTGTCCCAGTACAGACCCATGGGAGACACCATTATTTACCTCTCTCCATTCTGAAAACTGACTGTTTAATCTTCAAATATCCTATTTCTATGCATATATCCCACTAATAAAAAGTAAGTAGAATATAAAGGAGACACAAGCAGAGTTGCTTTTAAAATGAATGTTTTCAGAGTCTTCTGAGAGGCATTGGCTCCCCAACAAAAGGACTCTTAAATATCTCTGTAATGATGTCATTCTTGTTGCTGTAATTGTACCTATTTTAACCAGTTTCTCCCAAGAAGATTTCAAGTTCTGCAAAGCTGTAGTTGCTAGAAAAAAGTACAGAAGAGGGTCCATAAGTGAATAGTCTGAGTCTTGAAAATATCTTGCATTACCTCTTCCCAGAAGTGCAGATGCTTGTACATTTGCCATCTCATCTTCAAATAAGGCACCTACACTGTAGCAATCTGAATGTAAGAGGTTTTCTTGCAATCTCTTTAGAGTTAAATACAATTGAACTATCTACATCAAATATCTGCACATGCCTAATATTTACAGGTATCCTTCTCAAATGTCCCCTTTCCTGTTTTAGCTTTGTGATTCTCCTCTTTGGTCTACTTGCTAACCACAGAATTGCTTCTAAGATCTACAGATGACGAAGATGTGTTTACTTAAGCATTCAGATACACCTTGCTAAATTGTCAGGAAGACTCACCAAGGAAGGAACTTAACCTATTCACTCGTCTTTTATCATCACGAGGATAGTAAAAGACAGACAAACAAAACCAGCTAATGCTAATTTATTTGGCTGTCCCTCTTTCTCAATGGGTAGAATTGTGCGGGGCTGGATTAGGCTCATTCTGAGGTGCTAGAGGTGTCGTCATTTAAATGAGAAGGAAAAAAGGTCCTGACCTCTTGCACTAGTTAGTGGCTCTTAAAATGCCCATATATCTTTTGGCCAGGGCAGGAGTTAGCCCTTTTTTCATGGCCCAATTCTAACATCATTGCTTTCTGTCTCCCTAAATTCCCTCCTGTAGTTTCAAATGGGCTCAGTATTCCTCAATCCCATGTGCTCTGCCTGTCACTTTGCACACCAGAGGTGACTGCATTTCATTGGTGGGGGAAATGACA